GTTCACTGTGTAAATGTTATGTAGTGGGTTGCCGCATGGATAAACGACTGACGACGACGTGGTGCATGGCACGCTTTATTTGGTACACAACAAGAACAAGGAAAAAATGGCCGGCAGGCCAACTATATACACACCTGGGGACACACCCCTGGTCACCATTGGTGGGTTTGAATCTCCCACCATGGTTCCCATTGGTTCCCCAGTGGAGGGACTAGGAGCCTAGTCCCTATTGTTCTTCCAGAGCCAAGCTCTGGCTGTTCGCTGGCCCCCGGTGGTGGTCAGCATACACTACAGTGAACCACACTTCGGGGGGGGGATCATTATTATGATTGTTACCAATTAAGAGAATGTAGGTAATAATCTCCACTTTCTCTCCTTGAAACCGTATTTTCAAGCTATCGAGAAATGTATTTCATTTCAATCCGGCCATGGATGTTAGGAGCTAACCTAACCTAATGAGTAAACCATTCCAATTTGAGGAGCACTAAGAATACATCAGAACATCCTCCTCTGATCTGAACAGATTATTCAACTGGGGCTGAAACATGTGTGCGCATGCAGTAAGCATCTCCAGAACTATTTTTCAACTACAGTAGAGCATACAGATGAATTTAATGTGGTTCACCAAGGCCTGTCACCAAACGGTTGTTTCATTTACAGCTACAAATCCAAAGCCATTGTCTCCAAGAGGGTTTTATTTATGAATTTTAAAAAATAAAAAATTAACAGTAAGTAAAGCAACAACATGATATTATTTGATGTAAACATTATTAAAATCTGCAGGATTAAAGACACGGTTTCAGATTGCCCAGCCTTTATAGCAAAATAAAATAAAAATCTGTCTATTTAATCTTTGTAATCACTTTCATCCAAGTGTAAATGATCCAGTATTTTCTGACCTTCCTCAATAGTCCTAATACAAGTGGCTTGAAATTTGTAAAATAATCAGTTTGAAAGGAAATCTCCATAGAGAAATCTGAAATGTGGCATCCTTCAAGGGTGTTGGGAGAAGTTAAGATGAAGCATAAGCGCAGATGGAAATAGTATGGTTGTAACTCAGCATTACATATACTTTGCCCGTGGTCTTGGACATCTGACTCTATCATAACTTAAGCCTACAAAACATCCACTGAGTCTAGTGAGTAGAGGAACCTGGGAAAATAAAGTAAAGAAAGTAAAGAATATGGGTCTCAGATCTTCAACCTAATACATTCTGCAACGACTCCAGTTTCAGGATGTGTTCAACGTTGCCTTTGCCCAATCTCTGTAAAAGGTGTCCATAATTACCTCTGACTTTCCCTCCTGCATTCATGTTCAAACACATCCTTTCTATGAAATTCCAAGATCTTAGATATGTCCAAGTGTATGTGCTTTTTAAGATGTACTCCTTGTATGAGTGTGTGTGTGTATACACACACAAACATGCACACAGATGCGGGCACATGAACTTCCCTTGGCAGGGAAGTCAACGCTGTTCCTCATGGTCACCCACCTTACTTCATACAAATGGGGCAGATGCAGAAGGATTATCTCAGTGTCCCAGGAAGGATTATCTCGGTGTCAAGAAGAAAGAGAACCATGAGATACAGTGGGCCAAGACTGATTAGAGCTTTTAAACTCACAAATAACACTTTAGGCCCCAGAACCAACAGACAGCCAACGTAAATGAATCTGAACAGGAATAATATATTCCTAGTGTCCAATTCCTAACAATTCGTAGTGTCTATATTCTTGAACTAGCTGCATTTTCCAAACACTCTTCCAAATCAGCCCCTTGTAGACATAATATGGTAGTCCAATCTGGGTGTTAATGAGTAATCATGGCCAATTTCTTCTGATCAAGGAAATGTGTAGCTGATGAAGAAACTCAAGCTAAAGAAATCCATAACCACCTCCTGGCTGCTCCAGTAGCTTCGGATGCTGCACCATCACCAAGCTGCAATGCTGGGTTTCCAAGATGAATATAACCACATCCAACAAAGGTCAACACCCGCCCCAAGGTCATTTGTCTTTCCATCTTTTATAAATATCTTCAGATAGAATGAACTGCTCAAAGAACAACTATAGCCCTGGTGGCCTGGAGGGAGACTGGAAGAGGGAATAGCTTGAAGTTATCTAACAATTTTTCCTGTTTTAATCCAAAAATATTTGCAGTGCACAACCATGAATACCGCTGAACGAATGAGAAGGCTGATTAACATTAGCCTTTGCTAACTTAGTGCCTGGCAAACCATCACTCTGGAACAGTAATGTGCAATTTGATGGCAGCGTTTCTTTTTATTACTTTAACATTAATTTATAGTACACCTTTAATGTAAGGTAATATTTTTCCTCCCACTGACCTTTATAACATTGCGGCCAGTCTCATAATTATTAAGCCTTTTTTCTCTAATGTTAATCTGATACACAAACAGAAGTCAAGTCATAAAGGTACAGGTTAACAAGTCAATTGCATTAGTATCATCAGTGGAACTGAAATCTCTACCACAGATCTCTTTCTATAGACCACATGCCCGTAAAATTAATCCACTCAAAAATGTTTTATCTTTTTAAAGCACAGTGACCTGTGATATGCCTTCTGTGATTTGTCTTAGTGATCACTGTGACTGAGCTGTCATAGGACTGTCACTGCTATATGGCGTTATGGTCAGACTGTCCCCCCCCTTCCGCAAGAGATAAAGGATTCATTTACATACATCCTCTGCAGAGGCTTCCGCTTTGTGGAACAGCCTGCCCAAAATAGTCCGGAAGACTCCCCACAGCACTAGAATTCCACAAAATATGCAGAACAGAAATGTTCAGAAGGTACTCTAATAGAATTGTAGTGGTCCAGGATAGCACCCTTCATATGGAATGGGGAGTGGATACTGCATTGCCTTGTTACTAGCATTCTACAAAATATGCAAAACAGAAATGTTCAGAAGGTACATTTATAATAGAATTGATCTGTAGTGGTCCAGGATAGCACCTTCATATAGAATGGGGAGTGGATACTGCATTGCCTTGTACCTTTATAATCCCACATTTTGCACTGCTTGTACCATGCCGGCCTGGGCAGTTTGCTGCAGTGCTCACATTTAGCTTTGTATTTTTAGCCCTATTGCATTGGTATTGACATTCAGTTTTGTACTCCTAGTTATATTATGTCATTCATTTACATTGTTCATTGTCATTCAGTTTTGTACTCTTAGTTATATTATGTCATTCATTTACATTGTTCATTGCCATTCAGTTTTGTACTCCTAGTTATATTATGTCATTCATTTACATTGTTCATTGTCATTCAGTTTGGCACTCCTAGGCTTACTGCACTAATTATTCAGTGTCCTATACTTTATGGTTACATTTTTCTCATTCTGTACTTTGTCATCTGCCTTGAGTCTCAGTGAGAGTATAAACAAGCGAAATAAATAAGTAAACAACAAATTCTATATCAGCCGCCTACGTTTATACAAAATAATACTGCTAAACAACAAATAGTACACCCTAATCAACACAACAGAATTATACCCCTCTCATTCCCTTGACTTCAATGAGAAGGATGTAACTCTATTTAGGATTGCATGAAAATCAACAGACAGTAAGACAAACTTCTCTTTGGGGATAATGTATAAGGTACATAACGTATGAACAGAGTGCACAGTCAATCAAAAGACTGTAATTCCTACAAAAAATTCACACATGTCAATTTCCACATTTTATTTCCTGGGCTGACAATCCTAGAGTCCAACCACAGAAGCACAGCCTAGCCCTTTGTTTCTTTATGTGGCTCCTATCAGCAGAAGTGGTGCAAGGTTCCATGTTCTAGTGCCTTTTAATCATCTTCATTGATAAACAAAGACGTTCAAAAGGAAGACCTCTTTCTTTCAGCCAGATAAGCCAAAGCACAAGGAATTTACTGAACGATGTAAGCTATTGAATCTTAAGTTCTAAAAGCTCCTTCACACTCTTTTAGAAGAAGTGAATGCATATTTCAGATACAGTTAAATGTATTCTGTTTTGACACAGTCTGAACATACAATGTGAAACATTTTTTTTGGAAGTCAGGCAGGTGAGATTGTTTTCTGACAATGTAAGGGGAAAGAAGCATTCAATTATAAGCCAACTTCTATCTTTCCTAATGCTGTTCAGAGAGGTAGGCTATGCAATGGATATTTGGATAAACACTTTTAAAAAAGTTTATTTATTGTCAAATTTATACCTCGCCCTCCCCACAAAGCAGGCTCAGTTAGGATCCAGTGAGCTTTTCTACTGGTGTAAATGGGACGAGGGAGCCCCCTTTGACCACCAGAAAGGAATCATGGTACCTACATGGAAAAAAAGACATTTGGTACAGAGGGTGCAGAGTAAAGGTTTCCCTTGCTTGAAAGCTAGTTGAATCCATTTCCAAGCCAAAGAGCCAGCGCTGTCCGAAGACTTCTCCATGGACGTGTGGCTGGCATAACTAAATGCCGAGGTGCACAGAACGCTGTTACCTTCCCACCGAAGCGGTACCTATTTATCTACTTGCAATTTCTTGCTTTCAAACTTCTTGGTTGGCAGGAGTTCTGGCAGGAGCCAGAGATGGGAGCACACTCTATCACACGGCACTAGGGTCTCGAACTGGAACTGCCGAACGAGAGACCTTCTGGTCTGCAGCTCAGTGTCTTAACCTCTGAGTCACTGCGGCCCAAGGGTGCGGAGGGGAGACGTAATAAAAAAAGATGGCTGGATCTAAACCACCAATAATTACACATAATCTCAGCTACAGTCAATGCAGAACAGCATCTCCTGTGGTTTTACTTCTGATAGGTTCCTTGCTAGAGTACGCAGTACTATTGCATCTTCATCATAGTTTAGATGGGGGCAAAAAACAAAACACAGCCTGTGAAACAAAGCCAAAAACCTTTCAAGGAGATATATATTTGTGTCAGTAAATTATTTTAAAATAACAACGTATGTGCTTCATTGTCTGTAAAGGAATATCTTTCTTGAAGGTATACATAAGGGTTAAAACTTACTTGCTGGTGATGGGGTGCTGCAGCCACTTGTTGGTGGATTACCTGGAATGCCATGAAGGGAGGAAAGTGAAAGTCCGCTAATGACAGGAGGAAAAAGTAATGGGTACGGTGGTGCTGGGTAGTGAGTCATATGTCCATTGACCGTTGGTACAGGACATGCACGGCTACTAGTTGTCATGATAGCGCCTCCAAGGATATTCCAGAGAAATGCCCAGTACAGTTACTCCATAGAAGCAAAAAAGCAGGCTGTCAAGTCCAGAGACACAGCCCGAGAAGGAAACTCATCAGATGGTTCTCTTCCCCCCCTCACTGCTGAATTCTTCCTGTCATTTTTCTGGTTCATTCCTGGAAGACAGTCTTCGTTATTTTAATGTGATCAGATAGGAAACTGGTTCAGCTGTCGTTCCAAGCCTTCTTCCCTCCCCTGGAACAGCAGTTGCACTCTACAGGTGCTTGTTGAAGTATTCTGTGGGAGGAAGAAAACCATAAATAATGGAGACAAGCAAATTGGCAAATTAATCCCATGATTACTTAATTACCAGGCAGAAGTGGGCACTGTGGAACTATGCAAGGATGTAGAAGACCAAACAGTAATCATTGCGCACAGATGTGCAAACCATTATATAAACTATTGGCAATTAACTGTAAAATGGTCATCTGAATTTAGAAAAGATACAGTCCTCACACAAAGCCCACCTAGAAGTAAAGAAGCTTCTCCACATGTGGAAATTAGTTTCCACGTATAAAAGACAATTGCTAGATACCAGCATCAAACTTCTAAAATTTAAATAGTTGGATGTGATCTTGAAGGAATTTATTCAGAATATTGTTTGGAACCATAATGTAAATAAGTTTTATCACCAAGGAAGAAAGAAGCAAAATATATCTGTTTCTAGCGTGCTGAACCAAGAAGGCAAATGAAGTTGTAGGATATACCTGAAATAGCAGCTGCTGTAGGACTGAGACACACTAAAGTGACCAAGGACAATCAATCCTGTGCAGATAATAGGGAGAATAAGTGACATACACTTCTTGTTCCTATACTTCTTTCTATCATTTGGAATAAGGGTTTGTTCATTTGTTCCACATACATACGTCTGAGCTATACCCACTGAAGAAGAATGCAAATCTTTAAAGCAAGATGCAAGAGGTCATTGCAGAGCAAGTGTGAGCAATGGGGAACACAATTCACCCACATTTTCTGTTTCCCACAACCAGACTGTCTTTTTTTTAATAGTTACATCTTGTGCCGAACTTCGCTGTGTTCAAGACAGTAGAAATGTAACTGAAACCATTAAAGGGACAGAACCTTTACAAATGTAACTGGAATCGATTATAAATTAGATGGTGATTTCTAATTAATGGAATGTAAAATTCTGTCTCTTATTTTAATCTTCCTGGAACAGCCATCAAAGCAAATATAAATGTGGCGTATCTAGTTTTAAGCCAGTCTTATCGGGGGTAGGGGGTACTGTCCTACTAGGGTCAAATGAAAATCCTATGGGGTTTCCCCCCCCTCTTCTAATCTTTTCAATTTCTCTTTGCCTACTTCCCCTGAAGCATCAGAAAGGACCACCCTGGAAATAGGAAATAGATTAGATAGCAGCAGGAACTTAAGTGAGCAGTAATAGCAAATTAATGTGACTCTGTCTCTCTGCCTGCCAAGTCACACAGATGCAGAATCCTCCTCTGTCAGGAAAAGTAACTAAGGCTATTAGCCACATTAACTCCAGTAATGCTGTCTGTGGAGCTTTTCACATTTACAGATACAACAAAATTATCTTCCAGATTCTAATGCCTGTCCAATTATGCGACTGAAGGAAGAACACAGCGGTCAGTTTGACAAGGACGTGGCGGCAGGACTCAGTTCCAGAGCCACAGGCCAGAGCGGATCGAAACAAAAAAAACCCAAAGGAAGTCCACATATCCTGGAGTTCACAATCTATGCCAACAAATTTGGGGTTGGATCCAACCAGCATTTCTGCAGGTGAAAAAGAGAGGAGGGGGATTCTCGTTGAACACCAAAGAGCCCATGTTAGGGACAAAGACCTGCATGGACATTGCAAGTGAAATAGGGGCTACAGTAAGGAGGGAAATTAGCTGAGATTTAGAGGAAAGGGTAGCTGGATCTTACCTTCTATAAGGTTATCCCTGCAACTCTAGCAAGTAATCAGGGCCCATACCTTCAACCTGCCTTTTCCCTCTACCTGTGCTAACAATAATGGAGTGGTTGGGGAGGGATTTCTTTCAGGGAACTGGTATGGAGAAAGGGTTACATATTCCCATTCCAATACCACGACAGCAGCAGAGCCAAATACCTCCCTCCTAGAGCTGCTTTACATGAGCCCCAGTCTTCAGCATATTTTACTTATTTCATTTTTACTCCACTTTGCTCCCCTAAGGAATTTTCTCCCCTTCTCCATTTTAGCCTCACTGTCACCCAAAATGGTCTAATATTTAATTGATTGGGGAAATTAGCTTTGCGAGAGACGGGCAACTCAGGATCATTACCACTGTATACAGGAGTCCTTTCCCAGAGATTCAAATAAACCAGGAAGTAAAAGCATACACACAAAGCACACCTTTAAAACACACAAACAAGAACTAACCAAGTGCTATTTATGGCAGAAATGGACAAAATAACAAGAAAACTGAACAATAAAGAAGATCAAGAATTTTTTGAAGAATGGAATGACTTTAAAGAATACTTAGAGAAAAACTGGGGTGTAAAGCAAAATTTACTGTGTCTAGAACAATATTAGAGGGATGTTATCTTGAAACTGATAAATCGAAATGCGAAACAAAATTAAGAAAGAACAAGGAAAGAAGGGTAGAGCACTGCAGGAAGCCATTTGGAGGGGAGGGAAGGAGGGGAACATGGGTATTTGTAAATTGAAAGAAAATGTTAATCGTGTTATTATATCCAAAATAAAAGTTTGTGGAATTTAAAAAAAAGAACTAACCAAGAAATAAAGGGAGTAGCAGGAAGCAGTTTAGGGTAGGCTATATTTGCCAGCAGTGTTCCCTCTAAGCTGAGTTGGTGTGAGCTAGCTCAGAGTTTTTTAGCCTCTGGCTCACACATTTTTGTCTTAGCTCAGGAGGAGGAGGAGATTGGATTTATACCCCGCCCTTCACTACCCAAAGGAGTCTCAGAGTAGCTTACAAACTCCTTCCCCTCCTCACAACAGACACCCTGTGAGGTAGGTAGAGCTGAGAGAGCTCTAACAGGAACTGCTCTTTTTCAAGAACAGCTGTGCCAGAACTATGGCTTGCCCAAGGTCATCCAGCCAGGTGTAAGTGGAGGACTGGGGAATCAAACCCGGTTCTCCCAGATTAGAGTCCGCACACTTAACCACTACACCAAACTGCCTCTAGAGCAAACGAATTTATGCAGTAGCCTAATCGCTTTCTCACAACTTTAATGCCAGTAGCTTACAAAGTAGAATTTTTTGCTCACAAGACTCCACAGCTTAGAGGGAGCATTGTTTACCAGTCTTGTCGTTTCAGGCCTGTGGAAGAGAAGCATCCAGCCCTGCGCCCAATGTGAAGCTGACGTCAAGAAGAGAGCACACGCACTGAAGCTGGGTTCATGTATTTATAGAAAAAATCTAGGACAATATGACAGGTTCGCCCCTACAACAATACCTCAATGTGTTTACAGGAAGGTTCTAACATCACTACAGCCTTGTGAAGGAGGTTACACTGAGAGAGTGTGACTGGCCCCAGGCCACCCAGCAAGCTTCCATGACAGAGTAGGGTCTCCCAGATCCCAGCTGAACACTCTAACCACTGCACCACTCTGCTACTACAAGTGACCAGTTGTCCCCCCCCCACCATTAACAGCAGCTTGGATTTTGAGTGGTGGCATATTGATGAGCACAGCCTTTTCCTTGCCTGCTGTTTCCCCATCAAAATCACACGTTCACACAGTAACCAAGTTGGCTGGATAAACAAAAAGGCCAATTTCATTAAGATCATCTGCTCCAAAATAACCCAGAACTTCTGAAATAAACAACACAGCTTACAAAGCTATCGTATTTTCAACTCCCATTTCTTTCGGCAAAAAACTCACAGAGCTCAGCGCAAATTATCAAAATGTGCACAGCTCGTGGCTTTTGCAGCTATTTGAGCCAGACAAGAAATGTGAACTGTGTGTGATAGTACATTCTGTGTATTATATATTAGATTTTTTTAAATGCTGCCATCCTTTTATTTTCAATGTTTATGTGATAAAAATTCAGACTTTCTTGCAATTTTCCATTTGATTTAAGTAACTTATAGGAGGGTTGTTCTTGACAGAAAAGGTTAGCATGCTAGTGATGATAGAAAAGTAAGCTACAAATGAAGTAAGTGATACAAAATAAAAATAAATATTGGCAAACAACAGTATGAAAATCCTGCTAACTTATTTCCTATTTTGCAAAGAATGGAAATCTATTGACAATCCAAGGGACATCAAACAACCTCTGGAGGCACTGGAGGCACAAATCAGCGCTCATCCAGCGACTGAAGTAGATGACCTGCATTTCCTAACCATATTCTTAAAACAGAAGGTGCAAGAAGTTGCTACAGAAAGTGCAGTGTTTTGTCCATACCCTCAGTCCACTCTAGTCACTGTTGTCTTGCAAAAAGCCTATCATTTGTTCTCTGGATGCAAGGGAATGCATCTGCCTCTATGCTTCCTCCAGATCTGAGTGTGCAATTCTACACAAACCTCTCTGGAAATAAAGGACACTGAGTGCTGTAAGACTGAGATGCAAGTGGACTGTGAGACTCTCACCCAGATGTGCCATCATCGCACCGCCGATGTTGTTTGGCAATGCTCTAGTTTTGGGGCAAACTCTATGGTTAGAGCCTGATTTTACCATAAAGTTTTGCCCAAAAACTAGAGTGTTGACGGTGCGATGTTTCCACTTCCATGTGACACCATCATGCTGCATTTTGGGGCATTTGCGGGTGGGGTCTCCCACGCCAGACAGCTGGCTGGAGGTCGGGAAGAACCTACAAAAGTGGGGGAATCCCCACCCAGACCAGGGGGCTGGCAACCCTGAATACAATACTTGCAATCTGTGGTGGAAGGCAAAAGGTGGACAAGGTTAGCTGCAAGAGCACTTGTATCCCTGTCATATTATGAGCACTGGAGCAGAAGAGCCACCAGGATGATAAAATGGAGCAATG